AAAAAAAAAAAAAAAAAAAAAAAAAAAAAAAGAAAAGAAAAGAAGGTATTGATTTGGTTGATTGGTGATTGTTTTAGCTTAGGTCCTCTGAAAAGCAGATACACAAAACAGGATTAGATGCGCAAGAAATGTATTAGGGGAAATGTCTGTGAGAGAAAATGTGAAGGAAACTGGGAAGGCCATTAGTTTATGATTCAAGTCAGTTATCAGGAATCCTTGAGCTGCTGGAAAATGCTCAAGCCAAAGTTGACCATCAGAAGAGTTCCATGTCTCCCAGGAATAGACCTGCCTTAGTATCCCTACTGTCCTACCGCTCTCAGTCATTGGCCCTTCTTCCTTCCTAACAGAACCTCAGGTTTGTACAGGTATTCACCCCACAACTAGCTCCAGGTGTGTGCTGATTAGAATATGTCAGTGGATTCCCCTGATGACAGATAATGGTTCAGAAATGGGCATCTATCCAATGAAAATGGAGGGAAATATTTAATTCTAAGATTGGGGAGTGATTTTATTATTCTCTTCCTCTGGATGTAAATAAAGGAGCATATTGCCCCAGTCCCTAAATGGCAGCTATCCTGGGGATAAAGCCAACATGCTGAGGATGGCAGAGCAGATAATGGAGAAAACTTGGCTCTTGGATAATGTCATCAAGTATGTGAATTAACCAAACTTAGTGCTTGCCTTTTGTCTGGGTTTTTTGTTGCTTGCAGCCAAAGCGTATCAGCATACAGAAGGCAAAAACCAACATGGCTAGTGTTTCTTGGGCAGGTTACTGTAACCCTTTGTACTTCAGTTTCCTTATCCAAAAAATGGACAAGGCAAATATTCAGTTGGTGTGCTTTGATAGTGATTAAAATGGAATTTATTTCCTTTTGGAATAAATACTTTGGCTATGTTTTGGTGGTGGACAATACTTTCTTGTCTGGAGCAAATGACCTTGCATTTGCATACAGTGATGAGATAGCCATTTAAAATGTAAATATGGAAACTAGTCTGGGATATTTGGGGACTGTTTTCTAGGTAACTCCAAAAAGTGGACTTACTAAGAAGGTGAGCAAATGTCCATCTGGATTGCCTAAGCTGATGATTCTGGTCTTGAGAGTAACCAATAGCAGAATCTTGTTTATTTGAGTTACAGCTGAGATGATTGGGAAGTGGGGCAACCCAGACATAAAGAAGCAGATGAAGGCTGGCACTGATTATTACCACAAGCTCGTAACTCAGTTTAACCCAACAAATTCCCTTACTAATGTATTGGCTAGGAAAGGCTTGATAAAGAAGGTAAGACACCCTCCCCTTACTGGCCAGCTGCAAGGGGGAATAAAAAAGAAATTGAGACACCTGGATGTGAGGAAATCTTTGATAAATTAAAGGGTAATTTGGTAAGTGACAAGATTTAGACTATTCCTGATTATAATAAATTCTTTGTAATTACAGAAAGTATGGAGCAAAAACTTGAGGCTATGTTGACCCAGGATGGAGAAGGAAGAAAAAAACGTCCCTGCCTTTTCATGGCAGGAAATTACTGCCTATATTGCTAATAATAGTGGCTAACATTTCTTGAGTGTCTCCTGTTTGCCAAGCACAGTGCTAAGCACTTTGTGTACCTTATCTCATGTAATCCTCAGAACAATTCTTTATGGTAAGTACCATTATTATCTCCATTTTAAGGGGTGATACTCAAAGATTTAACATAGGCCCTGACCAATTAAAATGAATACCTGTAGACAATCAGTACAGCCATAGTCACACACACTAATTGAATATTGGCCTTGTCTATTTTATGGATGAAGAAACTGAGGTACTGAGAGTTTAAGTAACCTTAAACTCAGCCAGTAATGGGGCTGGGGATTTGAACTCAGATCAGTACATTTCCAAAGCCTGTGTTTGGCTGTTATCACTATGCTGTGTTGCATAGCTTCCTACTAGAGAGGGAAGGCTGATCACATGTCTAACCATATTTGGGTGATTGGTAAAGGTGAAACGTTAGTTATTCAGGTTGAGTATTTCTTCCTAATTAATCACAAAGTCCTGACCTGTATAATAACCCCTGCTATGGGCAATGTTTAGGTCCCCTCCAAATTCATATGTTGAAACTTAATTCCTAATGTGATAGTATTAGAAGGTGGGTCTATTGGGAGGTGATCAGGACACGAGGGCAAAGCCTTCATGAATGGGATTAGTGCCCTTATAAAAGCAGCCCCAGAGAGTTGCCTTGCCTTTTTCTACCATGTGAGGCCATAGGGAAAGGGTGCCATCTATGAACCAGGAAACAGGTTCTCATCAGACACTGAATCTGGCAGCATCTTTATCTTGGAGTTTCCAGCCTCCACAACTATGGGAAATTTCTGTTATTTATAAGCCACTGAGTTTATGGTATTTTGTTATAGTAGCCCGAATGGACTAAGACAACCCTCAATTTAATGTTGTAGAGAAGGACATGGTTATTATCTAAATCGAGCCTTAATATCAAACACATTGAAGACATGTCATCATGTGGCAGACATAACCCATCCTGGGGAGATTAAGGACTTTTACTTACTGCTTTAGGATTTTGGGAGAAGACGGGTTTGCAGGGGAGGGGTGGTGGTGGTTAGGTCAAGAGTAGGATAGCCAGGAAGTGGCCTAATATGATTTCTTCTGAATAAAGTAAGCATGTGAAGATAAAATTACCCATTGACTGCAACATTTGAATGTTCCCCATTATAGTCTCATTTTAACAAGTTAGGGAAGAAAAAACATGGTGGTTGGGTGGGGGATGGGGGATTGGTGGTGAGGGAAGATCCACATAGGACATGATGAGTGACTAAAAAAGAATCTGTTCACATTCTGCTGAAATCTCCCATAGTTTCTTTCACAATACCATAAGTCTTTTCTTGCAGTTTCAGCTTGGGCTCAGAGTCAGGGCCAAAATTCAAGCGACATCAAAATTTATTTTTGTAATAAAGGTTTATTTCCTCACGGGATTCTTGAAGGGTTTGCCCTGTGTGTGTGTGTGTGTGTGTGAGAGAGAGAGAGAGAGAGAGAGAGAGAGAGAGAGACAGATAGAGATAGAGCGAGAGAGAGAGAGAGAGAGAGCGAGAGAAAGGGAGATAGAGAGAGAGAGAGACAGAGAGAGAGAGAGAGAGAGAGATAGATAGATAGATAGATAGATAGAT